CAGCGTTGCTGGGGGTCAAGCCCTTGTCTGAATCTCACGCAACAACTAGTAGAAGATAGAAAAGAGAGATACCTAGGGGGCATCTAGAAAACTTTCCAAGATACCCCCATCGGGCGTTGTTCTGTTGTGTCGCGATGCTGTTGAGACTTTCTTGGTAACCCTAAACTTGGGGGTTAGCTTGGGGTTAAGCCCTAACCCTAACCCTAGATGCAGCGACTACCCCATACACTTGTATATACAACGCTGCGAGTTTCGCACTGCTATTGGGGAGACTGCAAAAGACTTTCTTAGTCACTATATATGCTATGACACCCTCTGGGGCCTATATTGGGGTGTACTTGGGGTTAAGTCAACCCTAACGCTAAGCCTAAATAGTGCGGCTTATGGGTGTCAAAACAACGCGGGTTTGGGGGGTCAAAATGGCCCGATACGGGCAGAAACCCTAACGCTAAGCCTGTTTCGGCGCGGGTTATGGGATAACCCGCGCCTCATATTGGTTAGGACTTGTTTATAGTTATTAAGTTGTTGCTTATCAACGCTTTGTTGCTGCCCACTTCCGCGACTAATCTTAGCATCTACATCAACGACAAAATATTTGCGCAGCCCTCCACTGTTGAAAAACGTCTAAACTTTAACTAAAGTAAATAGACTACTCTTGTCACCAATCCACGGAAGCTCGTGTGTTTTTTTACAGTGCTTCCGCATTTCGTCGCTACTTACAGTAATGTAACTACATGCTGTACACCTAAGACCATCTAACGGCGCCCCTAGCTCTTGTATTGCTTTCGCTGGCTGCCTGGGAAGTTGAATTGTGCTCGGCTCTGCTGTGGAAAATTGATTGAAATATTGAACAACCTCTTGTCGCTGTTGTACGGGCGTCTTGTGCTGTTCTTGTAGATGCCTGTTAAGATTCAAGACGCCTGTGCAGTGCTGCCTGCACACAAGCACTTTATATTGCCTAAGAAAGCAAAATACATCGTCGCAATTCTCCTTCGTAACGATCTTTGGCCAGTGCTGCACGTCTGTGGCGCGCGCGTTGCTGCTGTCGTGCTGCTTGATGGGCGCTCGACTGTTCCATGTGGGGTTCTCCATTGTCGCGCAACCCTAAGAACGCAACCCTAATAACAACAAACTCTAGCTGCACATAGTAAAACTCTAGTAGTGGGTTGTGCATGCGCTTTTAAGTTAACTTTGTATAACATAGTTTTTAATAACGATAAAAAAATATTATAGGGCAGCTGTGTTAGGGTACGCAGGGCATCCCTTAAATATTCGCCTAATTTAGTTTTCTACCCTAACGCTAAGCGGGTTCTAGCGCGGGGAAGGGCTGTCCCGTCGTATCATATTGGTTAGGGCTGTCCCGTCGTATCATATTGGTTAGGACCGGTTATCCTACTAGTCCAGATTAGGCTAGTCTACCAGGACCGGTTATCCTAAGCACTAGCCTAGCTAGGACTAGCCTAGGTTAGCAGGGGCCACTTTTCACAGGATAACCAGTCCTGATCCTGAATCCCAATATGTATAGTACTAGCTTAAAGACGCTGGCAATCCTCCTAACTACGCACAGACCATTTTTTAGAGGATTCCTATTGGGAATCTTCAATCCTAATAAGTATAGACTTACTATTTGAGTATACGCGATAAAGTTTTATATAGAGACTAAGTACTTAAAAGTGTTAGTTATGTAGTGATAAATTAGGGGTGTTAGATTTCGCGAATCGGACCTAATAAGGAGTCCATTTATGGTATGCAACCCTAACGCTAAGCCTATTTTAGCACGAATCAGGCCTCTTTCGCCGCCTCAGAGAAGCATAAGCTGCTTACTGCTAAGCAGACGCCCCATTGTGGCACGGCTATTGTCAAGACAGTCTAGCGCCAAGCTGACATATACTCTCAAACTGCTTATGGTAGTCATTAAGTCATATTGCGGTCAGCCTCGCCTGTAGCATAGAAGCGTTAGCAGGCCTCACTACACTAGTTCAGCCGCTTCTACATCGAGAATAATATGTATAATTGCTCATCTCAGCCACTAATGTTAGTGTTAAAGGATTATTTTAAAGGTTTCTTGGTATTTTTGTTAGATTTAGGGGCTTAAGTCATACGGTCTCTAGAGATGCAATAGCAGTATGCAGTAAAGTATAGCTTGATTCTATGC